ATATATGTAAAATATTAAACATTTTTGTTATAGGCTCTGCAATTCCCGTAAATTGTAGATTTTTTAAAATCATTTTTGTTAAAGATGCTATCTGCCACAAATCAGCCTCCGAAAAGAACAGGAGTCTTAAGAAAGGTAATGTGTTTAGGTTAGCAGTAGTGAATATGTTTCTTGATTACAATAAGAAGTTTCTATCTAACAATAGCCAGACTATAGATCTTGAAAGTAGAAAAGTTGTTAGCCATGGTATTCAGTTCTAGATGCTCAATTTCACCAAAATCATCTACAAATTGGGACATTTTCCCCTATTGAAAAAAATACACATCTCTGTAGATTTTAGTTTATATGACAAAGATGGCAAGATGCCATCTAAATAAGCCATTTCAGTTTGTGGGTTATGTGGTTTTTGGTCTTAGTAGAGTGTCTAAGTTTAATCAGTTTATAAATCTGTAGCTTAATATGCCTTTTCAAACTAACTATGACTATCCCTTTAAAACAAGCTATAAATAAAAGAATAACTTAGCACAGCCAATAAATCATCACAACCTAGCCAATAAAAAGGTTACATGATGGATTATTTCTAAATGATTCTCTTTTCTTTCCAAAACAAATGATCTCAGGGTCAGTGAAGTCAGCTGGCAGATAATTCAGAAGTATGCCTTTAACTTCCACAAGTCAGATGATGGCTACCAAAGAACATGATTTTCAGAAACTAGATATGCATGGAGTATTAGTCTATGAATTTCATTAGTCAGGACAGTAAAGAGTTCCAGGATTAGAAGGGGTAGTACTGAGTATTATTGCTGGGTGAACTGGCAACAACAGGGTTGTTGCCAGTTCACAACAGGGGAATTATATGTGATTCTCAGAATCATTTACAGTACTTGATCTTGAAGAAACAGATACTGGACCAGGTGGAACTTGATCAAGAGGGGGCTTTCTGTTCTTAAATTCTCAGTGCTCCCTTTTCATATGTGCCAGTGATTTAATATTTCTCCGAGGTTAACATAATACCCAGAAAACTCATTATGCATGCCAACTGGGCACCAAGGACTAAATGCTTGTCGTGCATAACTCCAAGTACTATATACTGCCTGCTAATCAGACACATAGACGTTACACAACTGCTAATGCCTACTAATATGTTGACTACAGAGATGGAACTCTGGACTAACCTTTGGCACACAAAGCCACGCTGGGAAAGCTAATTCCCCCCATTCCCCTCCTCCCAATCAAAGTTGCCAAGGTTCTCACAACCTGTTTAGATCATGCTGAGCTTTGAGAATGGTTGCTCTGGACAGAAAAAGACCTACAAATAAAGATGCAACGGACTCTGAAATCTAACTTAACTGCTTGGACGTTTGATATCAAAATAGAGTTCTCTGCATGTACCAGTGAATGTTCTCATCCATAAACATGACATTGGATCAAAAAGGAAGAAATAACAATAAACTGAATAAACTGCTTAATAAACCACAATTGGTTAGTTTCTCACAATACCCTAAGTTGAAATTCTACACTCAAGCTTTCATGGAAGTTAAACACAGGATGGTGTATGAAACCATAATGTGCTTTGTAGGTAGACAACTAAGTGGGTAGTAGAGGAGGAAGTATCACATAATTGTGAAAGACAGGCAAGAAAAAACTTGCCTTTGTTCAGCTCATTATTTTAACAGAATAGCAATAATCCCCAGTAAGTAACCCAGAAATTCAGCTTTAGCAGGCACAAAGATGAAGCTGCTCTTTTTTTCTAGAAAGCCATATACCATGCCGTATGTGTAATATCAACATAGTTTCAAATGAAGCAATGCATGACTTTAATAAGTCACATTAATATACATGTAAGCCAGAACTTTTCTGCTTTTGAGAACTACCCGACAACAGGTATTTAAACATTTGAATGTATTTTCATTCAAAACTTCGTAATTACTTATTTCAATTCTCTGGGCATTACAATTTCTTAATTTCAAATGACATTTATAAAGCAAGCAGAATTAAACTGAAATTGCTTACGAAGAGCTAGGTGCACTTTCAAAGTAATATGTAAACCTCCTCACTTCTAACAGATTTGCAAATATAAAGCAGGACAGTGAGCTCCCCAAGGCAAAAGTCTCACTAGACTTGTATACATTTTAATGAAGCATCTCATGCACTTGGATGACGCAAAAAATATTGTATTTACTTTTAAAAATCTAAAGCCCAAAAGTCCCAGCCCCAAAATCTTCCTCAACCTCCAAGGCTTCTGCACCTGGGTCCAATCACTATTAATTTCCTTAACATATTTGTTACTTCATATACTTCATTGCTTTCAGAGTGCTGATAAAAATTATTTCACTAAATTGCCACTGAAGAGTGGGAGGAATGGAGGGGTTGCTTGCCTAGAATTTCCTTTTTCCAGATTCTAAGGTTTCTCTCTTTCCCAGCTGTAGCTTTCTCTCAACCCCTCTCCATCTTATTTTCCTCTCTTCTTTTTAAAAAGCTTCTGCCTTCAAAAGAGAGAGGTGGAGATGTGCAATACATCCTGCTCTCCCATTCCTAAGAACTGGGCTGATTCTGCCATTTTGGAAATGCTCTGCTAGTTGTCTGGAAGTTAATCTGTTGAGCCAAATGGGGTTTGTGGCATTTTGGATATGGCTCAATCCTGAAAGAAACCTGTTTAGCTCAGGAATCCAAACTACATCCATTCCAGAGAATTAATTTCTAAAAACTGCGAGACCACCACCTTCCTGTAAGGGCCAAAGCTGTGTGGCCCAGAGGAGGGAATGGAACATTCCAGAGTCTTCTACATCATTTCATTCCCAGGTGCACATATAACCACTGATGTTACCTAGTTTGGAATAATGAATCGTCTGCAAGAAAACAACCAAGCTTACAGAGCACCAAGGACCCCTAATTTCAACCACAAGCTACAAATATTCTCCTTTATCAGTACATATAATTTCAATGAAAGGGGATTACTTGTGGGCTTCTGTGTGGGAAATCGGTAAACATACAAGAGGAAGTGGTTGATGTTATGCAAGAGTGACCAAGTCCTTTTAGAAAGAAATGCCTTTACTTTGCAGGCGATATTAATCATTAGTTTTAAACACTCATTCATATATATCTGATCATATCTTATACCTATATACGTATAAACGTGCATTCCATCCACATTTATTGGGCAAGAAATCCACTTTGCCTTCAGGTGGCATGGCAACTTCAGGTTGACAAAGCTGGACATTCCATAAGGATTTTTTTTTTGCCTGTCTTGATATATTTCTTGCAGGTAGTCCTCAACCTATGACCACAATTGAGCCCAAAATTTATGTTGCTAAGTGAGAAATTTGTTAAGTGAATTTTGCCTGATTTTATGACTTTTCTTGCCACATTTATTAAATGAATCACTGCAGTTGTTAAATTAGCAACACAGTTGTTAAGTGAATCTGGCTTCCCCATTGACTTGGCTTCTCAGAAGGTTGCAAAAGATGATCACATGACCCCAGGACACTGAGACCATCATAAATATGAGTCAGTTGTCAAGTATCTGAATGTAAATCACATAACCATGGGGATGCTGCAATGGTCATAAGTGTGAAAAATGGTCATAAGTCACTTTTTTCAGTGCCACTGTTATTTCAAATGGTCACTAAGAGAATTGTTGTACCATCTTTATTAGTTTTACAAATAACTCAAAGGGGCGAACATTTCCAACATGACTTCCTCCTCCTATTTTCCCCACAACAACAACCCTGTGAGGTGAATTGGGCTGAGAGAGCATGACTGGCCCAAAGTCACCCAGCCAGTTTTCATGCCTAAAGCGGAACTAGAAATCAGGGTCTCCTGCTTTTTAGCCTGGTATCTTCACCACTAGACCAAACTGGCTCTGGCTGCCTTCCTTCCAACTGAAAACAGTACGAAACAGGGGGGGAAATAATTTAAAGAGAGACAGAAGTTTGTGCAATAGAGCTGAAAACAGCCACATAATTTTATCTTTTAATTACCAGTATTCTTTTCATTACTAGCAAATGAACTTATTGCCAAGTCGTTGAAGAAAGGCTGAACAATAGAAACGGACATTTTTAAAAGTTTTCCCAAATTGGCACCTAGTAGGAAACTTAATGCTAAACATTAAACCAAGGTTAATATTCACACTACAAGCTTAGTCAAAAAAAGCATAATGGCGCAACATGATGACCTGATTCACACGATAGATCAATACCTTATATGGTTTTTTGGTTTTGACAACCATGATTTAATGCATAAACATAGCCAATGTGTGCAGTCCAAAATAACTATCTGGAGGGCACCAAGTTGTAAACATACAGATTGGCTTTTGTCTCTGGCAGCAAGCAATTCCATTTCATTCTCAACTATAGCTTTCTTTTCTCCTAATTCCTCTTCAATTACCTTGGATAAAAGAGCACAGAAAAATGCAAATTTTACCAATCAAGAAGGCTGATGACATTCATCTTCAGCTCTAAATTCCCGGTCTCTTTTTTCCTTAGTGTTTCCACTCTCCTTGACAAAACCATCATCCCCGTAGCTAACATAGTCGGGTTTTGTTTTGTTTTTTGTCTTCAGGGGGGGGGGGGGATATACAAATCCTTCCCCTTTTTCAAAGACGTTGGACTACAAGTCTCTAATAACTGGGAATAAGGAGGCTAAAATTCTAGTTACATGGAAGAAACCAGGGTTTTTATCCCAGAAACCAGAATTGTTATCGTTAACAACCACCGTACTCACAATACACTCGCGGACCCTCTCGTGGAATAACTGCTCCCGCGCAGACAGCAGGTCGTGATCCCCCAAATTCATCCTTTGGTCAGCATGGCTGAAAGTTTGTAGGGCTGGCAGAGCGGCCGGGGGAAGCAGGGGACGGGGCTCCCAGAACCCCAACGTAGCCGCCACCACGAACCGAAAACTCCTCCTCCTAAGCGGCAACTTCTAGAATCTAGAACGTTGCAACACTCAACCCGCGTCACAATAAAAGTCCACCCGGCCCGGAGGCAGCTCCGCGTTGCATCGTTAAAGGCACCGAAGCATCGCCTGCCTTCAACGAACCTCCGCTAATGCAGTGATGAGCTTAATGACGATAGAAAGGAAAAGGTAGAGCTTATACTTCCCACATCCCCTCCGGAGGGAAAGAGCCGATTGGCTAGATAAGGGCTTAACCTGCGGCTTTTCATTGGCTGTTTCGGGAAATTAAAGCTCAGTGCATAGGCTGAGCTGGACGTTCGTTATTTCATCGCCCAGTGTTGTCCGTGGTGGAATAGCATCCTCTAGTGGTTGGCCCCGCCTTCTTTGTACTGTACTGCAGGGTTTTAATTATTTGGGAAGTTTCGGTTATATCAAGGAAGGTTTACTTATACAGGTAAAGTAAACTAAAGTAATTGTAGACTTACGGCTACAATTGAGGCCAAACTTGATGTTGCTAAGCTCAAAATTGATGTTGCTAAGCGAGACAGTTGTGAGTTTTGCCCCATTTTACGACCTTTCTTGCCATAGTTTTTAATTAATTAAGTGTTCCCTTACTTAATTATAGGAAAAAAGGATTCTTTCCTTCCTTCCTCTTCTACATTTCTACTCTACCACAATTTACTTTAATGTTCAGTTACAAGTGATAGAGCCACTCCATTTTATTTGAGGAACTGTAGCTCACAAAAGCGTATGCCTTTTAATAAAATTAGTTAGGCAGAAAAGGTGTTGCCAGTCTCCTTCTGATAAATTACAGATAAGGAGTTATCTATATAAAGATAGTGCTTTGTTGTGAAATATAACCAACCCCCAAAATACCAGATCTAAATTACTAAAATTTAACACTACTAAAATGGCAGAAAATTTTATTTATTAAATGTATATGCCACCCATCTCAATGTCGAACGACACTGGGTGGCTTACAAACATAAAAACTAAGATACAAAATATTAAAGTATTAAATATTGTTTAGTTATTTTTGCCTTGTTGCTGCCATCTAGCTCCAATAATAGTTCACCAAGGTAGATTTCCCTGCCACAATTAATAGTAGGTAGAATTCCAAGCCTTTCATCTCCTAGAGAAGCATCTACATATAAAAGTCGCCATCTAGAGGCCTTGCAAAGTTTAGAAACATCCATAGATTTCTTGCTGAGAAGACAACATGATGCCAATAAAAAAATCTGGGACATGAATATGTAGACCTATTGGGCAAAAATTGGTTTTATAACAGGACTATCTTAAAGCTTAAAAAAAAACAGCTTCTTTTAATTTCCCCAGAGACATCTGTAGAATTTTCTGTAGATTCCACTATCAGTGGAATCATGCAATACCTCACTTTCCTGTTTTTCCCACTTTAGTTCAATCTCTTTATCAAAGTATTGGGAGGAAGGTCCATGTTCAAGAACAATATAAAAATAGAATTTATGGATTAAACCTATTTGCATCTGATATGATTATTTCAGATCCTACCAATGATATAATTTAATTACAATTTGAACTCAATACTTTTACGTCAGTGAGCTGGCACCCTCTGTTTACTTAATCCATATCAAAGTGTTACTGCTTGTATAAAATGGAGTTCCATGTGAAATTGCTTTGAGCCTCCGGAGTGGAGAAATTATATAGATCAGGAGTGTCAAACTTATGGCGTCACATTGTCGTCATGTGACATATCGCGGCTTTTCCCCCTTCACTAAAATGGGGGTGGGCATGACCAGTACGTGACGCATCCAGCCCTGATATAGACCTTACAAATAAACAAGCAGGGAAATACAGGTAGTCCTCAATTTACTACCACAATTGAGTCCCAAATTTATGTCGCTAAGTGAATAATTTGTTAAGTGAGTTTTGCCCCATTTTAAATTTTTCTTGCCATATTTGTTAAGAGAATCACTGCAGTTGTTAAATTAGTAATAAGGTTGTTAAATGAACCTGGCTTTCCCATTGACTTTGCTTGTCAGAAGGTCATAAAAGGAGTTCACATGACCCCGGGACACTGCAACCGTCATAAATGTGAGTCAGTTGTCAAGCATCTGAATGTAAATCACCTGATCTTGGGGATGCTGCAATGGTCATATGTGTGAAAAATGGTCATAAATCCCTTTTTTCAGTGCCATTGTAACTTCAGGCTATCAGTAAGTGAACTGTTGTTGAGGACTATCTGTAAATAAATAAATAATAAAATAGTAATTTTAATAATTTATTATATGAATCAATGGATAAAGAGCTACAAAACCAGGTTTAAGAAGCTATTATACTACCGTATACTATACTATTGTATTTTTATCTAGATGGATTGAGATATTATTCAGTAATTATTGCAAAAGTTTGGCATCAGTTAAAGAAAATTATGGTTGAAAGATTTAAAAAATATGTCATAGCAACGGTCTTCTTTTATTATTGCTTGGTAAGATATCCTACATATGTAAGTATCACTTCTTCCTAAAATTCTATTATTTGTCTATTCCTTGCTTTTACTCTACTCATGGCAAAATAATTCCTTTTATTTAATTAATGTATAATTTTACTTAAAAATCAGGATTGGGCAAATCCTGTGCTATCAACAAAAGCATTTCAGAGTCTTGCATATATTACATCTAAAATACTGCTTTGATCCTTTAAAATGAAAAGTATTTCTATTGTTCAAAACTCAACATAAGTTGGGAATATGGTATGGCCACATTTTATGAGCAGTACTCCACATTGTTGCTTGTGCTGCCTACCTTTTTAATATTGATGGCAAATACCAACACAGAAGACAAAAGCAAAAGTAGCAGGACACAATGCTGAAATGAAGATTATCCCATTGGACTGGGTTGCTGCATTTGATCACATGCAATGGTGTTAATTAATCTGACGGTCTCCTCTGGGTCCCGTCAACTAAACAATGCCTGCTGGCGGGCCCACGGGGGAGGGCCTTCTCTGTGGCTGCCCCAGCTCTCTGGAACCAGTTACCTCCTGAGGTCCGGACCACCCCCACCCTATTGGCCTTCCAAAAAGCGGTGAAGACCTGGCTTTTCCGGCAGGCCTGGGGCCGTTGATCTCGCTGTTGCGATCTTGTGAGATCCGACCATGAATGGTGTGAATGGGTTTTAATGTTTTAATTTTTAAATGTTTTTATAATGTTTTTTTTTAATGCATTGTAAACTGCCCTGAGTCTCCGGAGAAGGGCGGCATATAAATTGAATTAATAAAAAATAATAATAATAAAAAGCAGACCCTACCCTTGCAGGAAAACAGTAGGTTGAAGAAAATTGGAATTCAGATCAATTTGAACTACACTATTCTACCTAAACATTTTTAAAATCATATCTACAATTATAGCATCCTTATTTAAATATCTGATAAGGATAATAATATTTAATTTAATATTTGACAAAACGGAGGCAATTTATGAGTCCTAATTCTTCCCTTTTCTTCCATTCTTTGATATCAGATTTTAAACATGTTATGGATAAATATGATCTGTGTGCAGAATGGGAAGAAAACAGATTTTATAGAATTTGAGATTTGAATATTGATGGGAAATCTTTTTCTCTTGACCATAACGTGTAAAAGGATATCAGATGAAATGATGGGAGTTTCATCAGAAACTTAAACCTGAAACATAACAATATTCATACTATTTAAAGTCAAAAGTGTTTCAACATTATATGTAACAGATTCTCCTGAAACGCTTTTTAAAAAGTATGAACAAAGGGTTTGAACCAGTGGTGGGTTGCTCCTGGTTCGGTCCAGTTCTATAGAACCGGTAATAAAACCGGCGAGAGGCTCCACCCACCCACCACGACATCATCATGGGTGATCTGCGCATTTGCAGAAGTGTGTGCGTGCTCCCGCTGCGAACCAGTAGTAAAGGTAAGTAGAAGCCACCCCTGGTTTGAGCTATGTGCATTGTGGTAAAAAAAAATTCAAAAGTTTCAAAAACAATATTGTGCAAATCCTCACAAGTTTTGGAATCAAACTTGGACTCCAAAATAGTCAATAGATGGCATCATACTACTTTAAAATTGTATTATTAAAATTATTGTGTGTGGGTTTTTTTTGTTTTTTGTTTTTATTTGATTTATATGCCGCCCTTCTCCGGAGACTCAGGGCGGCTTACAATGCACTAAGCAATAGGGTTTGATGGGTTTAATTAATTTAATGCATGTTTTCTCTGGTGGCAGTCTCTAAGTTTATTCATTTCTTTTGCAAGCTTTGAGGAAATGGGTACCATACTGAATTCTAGTCACTTTGTCCCTTTTCCTCAGAATCTTCTAAGAGCTTTAATTTTTTTCTGCATATTTTCTATTGGAGGTTCTTCTAAGATGATGCTGGGGAATCTGAATCGTCTGTAATCCCTTTCTCTAAAACAACTTAAATTAAAAACAGTTGTTTACATTTCTCTCCCTCCCCCCCCCTTTTTTTAAAATAAACTTTCATTCTTTGTCTCTTTTCTGGTGAGATTGATCATTCTCCTGACAAAGGAGGATGAGAATTGATTTCCCCAGGGACATGACAAAAAGCTGCTCAATCAGAAGATGCCAAGACTATGGGAGCCCTATTTCTGGGATAAGATGCCAAGTATAATAAAGGCATTCCATTGGAACATAAGCAGCCACAGTGTAAACTAAGAAGCAGGTACACCAGAACAGGAAGCATAACTAGGGTACATACAAAAAGGCTTTTTGAGACAGGTGATTTGAGACCTCTAGAGCTTCCCCTACTAGCTCAACTGCTGTCATTGGATGTGAAAATATGCAGGTAGATCTCAACTTATGATCACAATTGAGCCCAATATTTCTGTTGTTGAGACGTTTGTTAAATGAGTTTTGCTCCATTTCTTGCCACAGTTGTTAAGTGAACACTGTAGTTGATAAGTTAGTAACCCGGCTGTTAAGTGAATTTGGCTTTCCCATTGACTTTTGCTTGTCAGAAGTTTGCAAAAGGGGATCACCTGACCTTGGGACTCTGCAATGGTCATAAATATGAATCAGTTGCCAAGCATCTGAATTTTGATCAGGTGACCATGGGGGATGCTGCAAAGGTCATAACTATGAAAAACGGTCGTAAGTCACATTTTTCAGTGTGCAGTTAACTTTGAATGGTCACTAAATGGAACTGTTAAGTCGAAGACTACCTGTAGTTTG